AAGGAAAAGCCGCCGGGAGCGATCGGAGCGAGAGGGAGAAGGGGAAACGGCGGAGACGATGGAGGTGATGGAGGTGATGAGGAGGATGATGAGGATGATGAGGATGGAGATGAAGGTGAAGATGATGAGGATGATGATGATGGAGGTGAAGGTGATGAAGGTGAAGATGAAGATGATGAGGATGATGATGACGATGGAGGTGAAGGTGAAGATGAAGGTGATGAGGACGATGATGATGGAGGTGAAGGTGATGAAGGTGAAGATGATGAGGATGATGAGGATGGAGGTGAAGATGAAGGTGAAGACGAAGGTGATGAGGATGATGAGGATGAAGATGAAGGTGATGAAGGTGAAGATGAAGGTGATGAGGATGATGATGATGATGGAGGTGAAGGTGATGAAGGTGATGATGAGGATGATGATGATGATGATGAGGATGGAGATGAAGGTGAAGATGATGAGGATGATGATGATGGAGGTGAAGGTGATGAAGGTGAAGATGAAGATGATGAGGATGATGATGATGGAGGTGAAGGTGATGAAGGTGATGAGGATGATGGAGGTGAAGATGATGAGGATGATGAGGATGGAGATGAAGGTGATGAAGGTGAAGATGAAGATGATGAGGATGATGATGACGATGGAGGTGAAGGTGAAGATGAAGGTGATGAGGACGATGATGATGGAGGTGAAGGTGATGAAGGTGAAGATGAGGATGATGATGAGGATGGAGGTGAAGATGATGAAGGTGATGATGAGGATGATGATGAGAATGATGATGATGGAGGTGATGAAGGTGAAGATGAAGGTGATGAGGATGACGACGATGGAGATGAAGGTGATGAAGATGATGAGGATGATGATGAGGATGATGATGATGGAGGTGAAGGTGATGAAGGTGATGAGGATGATGACGATGGAGGTGATGAAGGTGAAGATGAAGGTGATGAGGATGACGATGATGAAGATGAACCTGATGAAGACGAAGCCGATGGAGGTGATGAAGACCATGATGAGGAGGAGGATGATGATGACGAGGATGATGATGAACCTGATGAAGGTGATGGTGAAGGTGATGAGGATGAAGAAGATGATGAAGACGAAGCTGATGAAGGCGATGAAGATGATGATGAGGACG